CTTTGGATTTGTTTGCCCCCACGTTACTAATGTGGAAAAATGGATAGACTGGGCGCGTATCGCCGCGCACCTCATCCCGAGGTGGGAATGGTGATTCGATGAGCAAGAAGAGCAATTCACCTAGTCACTCGTCGCCCCTTCATCGAGAAGTCGGCAACGATTCACCGTCTACTACCACCGCTACCAAGAACTCACCCTCTCTTCGAGGAAGTAGCACCACTGCACCCGGTACGATCACAACGGACAGCGGACCAGCGGTCGCATCGAGCGCTAGTGGAACTGGTAGTACGACTATAGCTACTTCAGCCAATTCTGCTGCATCAACCGTCAACGCCCTGGGCCCTCCTGCGACAGGTCCCAGTGGCGGCTCACCGGCTCAACATCTTCCGCCTCATCTCCAGGGAACACACCTTAACGCCCAAGCCATGCAGCGTGTACAGCAGCACAAGCAGCATCAGCAGCATCAACAACAGCATCAACAGCAGCATCAACAGCAGCATCAACAGCTTCAGCAGCTTCAGTTCAACCCTCCACAAAGCCAGCCACTCCTGGAAGGCGGAAGCGGTTTCCGTGGAAGCGGAATGGAGATGACCTCAATTAGAGAAGAGATGGGCGAACATCAACAGGGCTTAAGTGTATAGGAACCACTCGGCCCATTGACTACATCGTCGACCTCTTATGACTCATCGGTCTCAAATCTGTCGTTGCCTGCAGTGGAAGTCGGTGGCCATACTGATCCCCAGCAACAACTACAAGATCAAGGCCGCTGTCAGACTCAAAGGCAGGGACGACGACAACAACAACAACAACAACAACAACAACAACAACAACAACAACAACAACAACAACAACAACAAAAAGAACATGGTACGAGTCTACCGTCCCAGAGGCAACGGTTACACAAGGAGCTTCGTGAGTTCCATGAGTTGCATGACTCGCGGGAATGGCAGCAACAACACCAACAGCAGCAGCTTTACGCCTCACAACAACGATGATATCATGTAGAGATGCAAAAGAGGTTGCAAGACCGGCAGCAAATGCAAATACCGCAGCCGCAGCAGGAGCGGCTGTAAGAGTAACCACGCATATCATCACCGACCGAAGGACCGAAAGACGATATTGAGTACACCAATAACCTCGGCGGCCCATCTCATGCCCACTGTCTCTACTCGCAGCTACTATACGTTACCTGGGCTTCAATACAATAGAGAAGGTGTGTAGAATATGAGAACCAACATTCCCGGAACGGACGATGGGAAAACGCTTGAGGCCCACGCGGTCGTCAGAGAGAAAAAGGAGCAATCTTACTAGAGATTTGCAAACTTCGGATCATACCAGACCTATATACATACATGCACACATACTCGTATACGTATGTCATGATAGTTTCCTCTTCTTTTCTTTGTATGTGGAGGGTCATTCAACAGAAGAAGGCCTGCATAGTGTAGACTTTTACATCAAAGTGGCACGAGCTAGGGATGGAGTATTTTCAACAACAAGGGTAGGAAAAAGGAAAGGAAGGACAAGGATTGGTGAATGGGCATGGACAGGTTGATTTGAGTAAGACTGGTTGGTTGGTTGGTTGACAGGAGCCGGAGCGTTTAAGAAATCGGCTGCTTGCTGGCTTGACACATTGTGTTTTTCAATTTTTTTATTTTTTTTTGGATGTGCTTTTATATACATATATATCATCATAGTTGGTTTTGATTAGGTCGTTTATGTACTGCATTCAAATATGCATTCTTGAGCTTCAATCTGATTGATGTAGTTCTTTCATCATGGTCGTTATCTTGATCTTTGACTGCACTGGTGGCATACGTTGCCGATGGAATATGTTGAACCAAGTGGGCATGGCAATGGGAGGAAGGCAGTTTGTCCCTTTGCTACCTTCCGGTTTGAGCAGACAGACCATGGTAGGACAGGCCGCAATCGTAATTAGATCCCGACTGGTCGTTGTCTGGAAGCAAAAAAAAAAAAAAAAAAAAGAAGAAAAAAAAAAGAAGAAAAAAAAAAGAAAAAGCTCATTCTGTTCGTTTGCATGTGTGGATGAATGTATTTACTTTGAGCGAAATAATAATCTCATCACAAGCTAACTTGTTGTCTGTACGCTTTATTTCACTTTCACGAGTACCTACCTCCTTTACCAGACTCACAACATTGCTTTTTATGCTCTGACATTGCAAACCTTGTCAACCCCAGTCACTACGACGACCATAACGGCGAAACGACGCTCTTCCCATTGTTATAGGCAACTAACTACTACTAATAGTGTTTGTTAACCTGGATAATAATTTGTTGCATTTCAAAATAATTAAGCGGGGTATCATCCATCCATCCATCCAGCAGTTTTCCATTTCTCTTTCCCGCTTCTTGCACATTGCGCTGAATATTCCCTAACTCCCCAACTTATTCCCTTGTTTAAAGGGGAACAAAAAAGAGATAATAATGCCAAACCATATCTGCCAACACCAACAAACACCATCACCACCACCATAGCCAGTGAAACTCCATCTACCTATCTATCTATCTATCGATCTATCTCGCATATCCACCCCTCCCACATAGAAGAAAGTCGACAGTGATGATAGAGAGATCTCCAGCCAAATAAATGGTCCATGTGTAGTTGAACAGAGTTGTGGCCGCGCTACGGTTCGAGATGAAAAGAAAAAGAGAACAAGACCGATGGACACAGCGTATCATAATGTATGTGAATAATAATGGGTATGCAACGAGTTACCAATATGCAGAGTAGGATAGAGAAAACGCCCACTTTGTCCCCC